TAGTAGAGACGGGGTTTCACCATGTTGACCAGGATGGTCTCGATCTCTTGACCTCGTGATCCACCCGCCTCGGCCTCCCAAAGTGCTGGGATTACAGGCTTGAGCCACCGCGCCCGGCCCCATCATCATAGTCTTAATCACAATCACAGCAGCAACTGTTTCTTACTGAGCTCTGCAAAAAAAAACAAAAACAAAAAAACAAACAAACAAAAAAAACTGCTCTACATTTTAGGTTAATTACTTAATTTAATCTTTACACTAACCCTGTGAGGAAGGAAATACTACAGAGGGGGTATTAAATGCATGGCTACTTTCATTCATTCATTCAGTCAGTCAAAGATTTAGGCTGGGTGCGGTGGCTTATGCCTGTAATCCTAGCACCTTGGGAGGCCAAGGCGGGAGATCACCTGAGGTCAGGAGTTTGAGACCAGCCTGGCCAAAATGGTGAAACCCTGTTTCTACTAAAAATACAAAAAAATTACTCGGGCATGGTGGTATGTAGCTGTAGTCCCAGCTACATGGGAGGCTGAGGCTGGAGAATCGCTTGAACCTGGATGGCGGAGGTTGCAGTGAGCCGATTGTGCCACTGCATTCCAGCCTGGGTGACAGAGTGAGACTCCATCTCAAATAAATAAATAAATACATACATATTAAACTAAAATAAATAAATAAATAATAAAATATTTGGCTGGGTGCAGTGGCTCATGCTTGTAATCCTAGCACTTTGGGAGGACAAGGTGTGTGGATCATGAGGTCAGGAGTTCAAGAACAGCCTGGCCAATATGGTGAAACCCTGTTTCTACTAAAAATACAAAATTAGCCAGGCATGATGGTAGGCACCTGTAATCCCAGCTCCTCGGGAGGTTGAGGCTGGAGAATCACTTGACCCAGGAGGTGGAGGTTGCAGTGAGCTGAGATTGCATCACTGCCTGTGGGACAGAGTGAGACTCTGTCTCAAAAAAGAAAGTTTTTACAGTACATCACCATCGCAGCCTTTGAAAATCCAAACTGTTCTTCAAATCTAGTGGGAACCACCACTTCCTCTCCAGAACGTTCCTGGATACTCTTGAAGATGGATGCGATCTTCCCTCCTCTAAGTGTTTAGAGTTTTGTTTATATCTTTTGGCTATTCATTAACATTTCCCTTGTATGATGATTTATTTCCATATCTTATCATCTCCAATAAGCTGTGATCACCTTTGGATCCCCAGTGGCTCCTCCATAGCTTGCACAGGGCTAGACATAACAAAGCAATTGATGATACTGTCCATGTGGCTGACATGATTTGTTAATGCACTCATTTGGATTTATAAGAATTTTTTTTTAATAGACACAGGGTTTCGCCATGTTGGTCAGGCTGGTCTTGAACACCTGCCTCAGTCTCCCAAAGTGCTGGGATTACAGGCATGAGCCACCACGCCCGGCCTCATTTGACAGTCACTGAGCAGCTCCAGTGTGCCAGGTTGTACATGAGGCACTGGGGTATGCTGCTCCTGCCATCATGAGATGTGACCAGCAAGAAAATGCGCAAGTGTGATGGGCACATGAAGAAAATGAAGCTGGGTGGCAGAACAGAGAGGGACTGAAGCAGTTACTTTAGGTTGAGGGGATCAGAGACAACCTCTCTCACAAGGTGCCATTTTACAAGAACCTGAAGGACAAAAAGAATCAGACAGGCAGCTGGGCGCGGTGGCTCACGCCTGTAATCCCAGCAATTTTGGGAGGACGAGGCAGGTGGATCATGAGGTCAGGAGTTTGAGACCAGCCTGGCCAACATGGTGAAACCCCATCTCTACTAAAAATACTAAATTAACCAGGCGTGGTGGTGCATGCCTGTAATCCCAGCTACTCAGGAGGCTGAGGCAGGCCAATTGCTTGAACCCAGGAGGCAGAGGTTGCAGTGAGCTGAGATTGCACCACTACACTCCAGCCTGAGTGACAGAGTGAGACTCAATCTCAAAACAAACAAACAAAGAAAAATAAATAAATAAATGCTTTTTCCTTACCAACAGTAGGTATTGACTTTTTACAAATATTATTCTATTTAACCCTCATAACTGCCCATGACAATGCTTTTTTTTTTTTTTTAGAGTTGAGGTCTTGCTCTGTCACCCAGGCTGGAGCACAATGGTACAACCATAGCTCACTGCAGCCTTGAACTCCTGGGCTCAAGTGATCCTCCCACCTCACCTCTTCAAGTAGCTGGGACTATAGGCAGGGGACACCATACCTGACTCAACCACTCTTTTTATTTTATTTTATTTTATTTTATTATTTTTAATTTTTATTTTATAAAGACGGGGTTTCACCATGTTGGTCAGGCTGGTCTTGAACTCCTGACCTCAGGTGATCCGCCCGCCTTGGCCTCCAAAGTGCTTAGATTACAGGCGTGAGCCACCATGCTCTGCTGACTCAACCACTCTTAATCTGACTCTTGGCTTCTCTACTAAAAAGAAATAATGCTTGTGCAAATTACTCTCTATGCCTCAGTTTCCTTACC